AAATACCAAATGTCCTCCAATATTGTTGAATGTTTTGATTTTCATCCTGATAAAATACAAAAATATTTTGGAATTTTAAGATTTTTTCCCCTTATTTTCTGTTGCCAAGGGTTAAGCTATAGGCATCATTTGAGGTCGGACAATTAAGCTCGTGAACTTGTTGCAACAATGTTGCTAACTTCTTTTGATATGAGAAGGATTATTCATTATGAATTGGTACCAACTGGACAAACAGTTAACCAAGTTGACTATTTGGAAATGCTGAAAAGGCTGCATGAAAGACGACCTGAACTTTTCGCCAACAATTCATGGCTCTTGCATCACGACAATGCACTAGCTCACATGGCACTGTCTGTGATGGAGGTTTTTTTTGGTTTTGTTTTGTTTTTAAGATTTTATTGGGGAATTGGGAAAGGGGACCAGCCATGTTGTTGTTCTTCAATCTTCATTGTGGAGGGCGCCAGTTGCCATCTGGCTGCCCATCGGCAGCTCATGGCCTCTAAGCTCAAGGTGCTGTGTTACAATCTTAGTTGTGGGTGGGTGTAGCCACCACCCCATGTGGGAGTTGAACCAGCAGTCTTGTCGTTAAGAGCACATGCTCTATCCACTGAGCCATCCGGGCGGCAGCTCAGCTCAAGGTACCAAGTTCAGTCTTAGTTGTGGGTGGGTGCCCACCATCGAACAGGCAATCTTGTTGTTACACCAGCTGAGCCATCCTGCTACCTGTTGGCAGCTCAGTGATAGCTCAGCTCGGGCACAGCATCACTGGCCCATGTGGAAATCAAACCAGCGGCCCTGTTGCTCAGAGCTCATGCTCTTGAGCCAACGCTTAACCAACTGAGCCACTCAGCTGGCCCCAGTGATGGAGTTTTTAACCAGTAAACAAATAACTGTATTGGAACACCCTCCTTACTCACCAGATCTGGTCCCCAGTGACTTCTTGCTTTACCCAAAGATAAAGGAAATATTGAAAGGAAGACATTTTGATGACATTCAGGACATCAAGTGTAATACGACGGCAGCCCTGATGGCCATTCCAGAAAAAGAGTTCCAAAATTGCTTTGAAGGGTGGACTAGGCACTGGCATCAATGCATAGCTTCCCCAAGGGAGTACTTCAAAGATGCGTAGTGATATTCAGCAATGAGGTGTGTAGCACTTTTTCTAGGATGAGTTCATGAATTTAATTTTCAGACCTCGTATATACCAGTTTTACCACTGTGTATAAAAATGTACAAACATTATGAAGGCTTTTCTGATTCCTTGTTGTCTCTTCTAGGCAGAATTAGCTGCTTTCCCCTCTATGCCCCACGAGAGACCCCACGGTTACAGTTTGTCTTAAATTCAGATACCTATATGAGTCTGCAAACTGCTTTTAATCCCTAGAATCTTGCCCTGTACCTTGTACACAGGAGGCCCTCAATTTGTTGGATTACTGATATTCTGTCCAGATTTTCTACAGTATCTCAAAATACATGGCTTTATTGTTGTTTATCATCTATATAGGTATTTCTGTTGTACAGTATTATAAATAGTATATTTCAGATTATGGTTTAATGTAGGTGATGTAATAAAATCTACATAACAATTGCATTTTGAAATTTCTAAAGTCAGTTATTCACTTTTCTTATTATTTAATCCAGACAGCATATATATCATTTTAGAGTTTCTTTATTTGGTTGTTTTAAAATATGCATCCCCCAAACCAAGGCAATTATAAGAAAATATCCATTTTAGAGGTAAAAATTTGTGAATATATATAGTATAGAGTAAAAGGTTGAATATAAATATATAGGCTTTTCTTATTTTATTTTTCTTGTTCCTTTTTATGTGTTTTTATAATTTTTAAGTATATTTTTTCAGTAGGTAATTATGGTTCAAAATTCAAAAAGTACAAATAAGTGTACAAATAGAAAGTAGCTCTCTCTGCCACACTGTGCCAAGCCAACCTTATGTACCCACTCAGAAACATTCTTTACATATACAAGCTATTTATATAACTATATACATATATTCACAAATATGTATTTGTATCTATGTATTAACAATAACTGGCACAACCACACACATTGTTACACATGCTTTTTTTTTTCAACTTAATATATCTTGGCTTTTTTAATATCAATACTCATCTTTTTGTTTATTTTTAGCCAAAATTTATAGACGAGGAGGCAGATACACTTGAACCCTTTAAGAAAGCTGGAAATGTTTCCATGTGTAGAATAGAAATATTTCTTGCCTAACAATGAAATCACAGCTATAAAAATGCTTCACCTTCTAGACCAGAGCTATTCAATAGAAAGATAATATGTTAATTCTATATGTGAGTTTAAATACTCTAGTAGCCACATGAGAAAAAATAAAAACAGTCAGGTAAATTTAATTTTAATAGTATATTTTATTTAACACAATATATCAATGATATTATCATTATAAAATGCGACCAATGGAAGCAATTATTAATGAGATATTTTACATTCTGTTATTATTACTCGGTCTTTGAAATTCAGTGTGCATTTTGTATTTACAATATAGATCATTTTGAACTAGCGATATTTCTAGCGCTCAGTAGCCAGATTTGGCTAGTAGCTCCTGTATTGGACAGTGCCGTTCTAGACCTTCTTACTTCCCAGTGGTTTTAAATAGCTAAAGATGGAGGCCTTGCCTTCGTATCCCAAAGCCCCCATGCAAAGAAGAGCTTTAGTACTCTGTTCTGGTGGGCAGTTGGGGCCTCCCTGTCATCGAATTCCAGGGGGAAATGGCTGTCAGCGGCTTCTGTGCTGGTCACAATAGTTAAGCAATCTGTTGGCTCTAGTCTATTGTGGTCTACTGTTTGCCCTCACTGTGACTACATAACAACCTCTATTATAAAAAACAAACAAACAAACAAAGCCCTCTGATTATCAGCATTTTCTGGCTTGTTATATTTAAACTGCAGCTTTGAAAGGGACTTTTTCTAGCTACAAAGAATACTAAGAGAAACATAATAAGAAAAAGCCACAATAGGTCAGTAGGTACCCAGCGAAGCCAATCTCTAGGTTAACAACTGTAGGCTCTCCTTTACATTTATAAGGATATATGGACAACTAGAGTGAAAAGAAAAATACTGAAGGAGCTTCTCCCAACTCTGAGACGCTCTGATTCTATGAATACAAATTATTCTCTCCATGATTGAGACTGGAGCTCATTGTGTACAATCCATGTTTCTAAATACAGCTATATTAAAATATCTTAGCACCATATAGTATACTTTCCATCAAGGAAAAGGAAAATCCCCACTGTCTAATAAATAGAATAAACATTTTTTTTTGGACAATTTAAAATATTTATGTGTTGTGAACTGACTGTACAAAGCAAGAAAGGGCAGTGTTCCGAGTTCACGCTGAATTCTTGCAGTATGCTGACACTTTGGTTTCCTTCTCAAAACTGATGGGCTTCCACTTCTAAACATGTACTTATTTTGTTACACTAGATTTGGAGCCACTGATTTAATACAGAAGTGCTTCTCTGGTACCCTTCAACATAGCAGCCAACCAGACTCTTCTGAGCGTTAGTATAACAGCTTGCAGAATGAACCTTTCTACATGCTAAAACCTGGGTTCAGCAGCCTGAGTTCTGGCTGTGAGTGTGATGCAAGTGATGGGTAGTTCTAATGCTCATGGAAAGCCTACACTTGCTACTACCTATTCCTTTGTTGTAAATGATGTAGTGACAATGTAGTTCCATAGCACTTACACCTACTTAAACTGATCTAGTAATTAAACTTGTACAGTTAATCAACCAGAAAAGAATTATAGTGCACTGCACTCCTTACACGCCAGTGAAGCATCCTGCCACCCTCTCATTTTTCTGTTGCACAGCTGTGTGGCCCTCCTTCCACATACACCTCTCTTTAGTCATCTGTTAACACTTGTTTGGTTTTCTTGGCTGTTTCCCCAGAGTATTTATTATGCCTGAAAGGTATGAAAGGAAAAGCACAGCTCAAAATGGTTGACTTTACCCCTTTCTATTGTTTACAAAAAACAAAAACAGGTAAAGTCATAAAGATGCATATACTCATTAATTTTCTTGTCTTTTAAGCCAAAAAGAAACAGTCATTGATATACTCTCGATATCACAAATTTAAAGTTTTTGTGAACTGTACTATGTAAAAGCCAAGTTTGTGTTGGCTTTACTCATTACTGGACTCCCATGATTTTCTTTTTCTTTTGCATAGGTTACTTATGTCACTTCAGTGTGTCCAGTCCACAAATCACATCACCTGTGGAGGGACTGTTTCTTACGATGGCCTCTCATGTAATTGCATGAGTCAGTGAATGTTCTTGAGAGGTAGACTAGATTAGAAGTAGACTACATTGTTACTCTTATAATACTTATTTAAAAGAAATAACTTCTATAATTTCAAGTATTTGCATTTAAAGGTTTATATGAAAACATGTACATTTATTTTGCAGAGTAATGAGTTAGAACAGGATTGTCATTTGAACTTCACCTACTTTGAGTGGATATAAAGTTGGTACTTTTTTAGTTGAAGGAGATATACTTTCCTCATGTTAAGAACTTTTTTGCTGCTCTGATGCTGTTCACGTAATCCACTTTTCTAAACTGAGCCTCATTTGTCAATTCTTCATTGCACTTAAGATTATGTCTTACTAAAAGTCGAAAATCAGTCTATGATCAGTTTGCATCATAAGAACTGAAATTAGAAATTTAGAGTAGGAAGGGTTATCATTTTTTTTTTTAATTTGCTTTGGCCAAATGGTACCCAAGTTCCTGGCACAGATGTCCCAGTGAGGATGCTACTTAGTTCACCTTAAATAACTATTTCTGGCTTTCCAGGCAGTCCTGGCTCCACTTCTATTCATAGGTCCTTTAAAAGAACAAGTATGGCATAGTCATTTAGTCTGCGTAGGTATTTCTAGAATAAGCCAGTATGTGATGACAATAGAATCAGTTAAATATACATTTTTTTCTCTTTTTATGCACTACTTGACATCAAAAGCAAAAAGAGGTAAGTTGGCTCTAAACCTGTAGGTGAAGCTTATTTTCTTTAATAGATTTACTCCTGATAGCATTGCTTTAATTAAATTTGTACAAGTCAAATACATGTACATTAGGAAGCTCGTCACTGTAAATCTTTATTTCTTTCTTTGAAAAATGAATCAGCACATTCTATAAATTTGGATTTTTATACTATTTAATATTTAAACATATTGCTTTTCCTTTAACTGAATTAAACTTATGGTTTAATTTGCTGATGAGAACATGGCGCAGTTTGAAACACTTGGTTTAGTTTTGGGGTTTCTGAATTGTTTCCCCCTCAAAAAATGTGGGTTACATTATTATAAGTATTTCTTTTTTCTTAAAATAAAAAAAGCTAAGAAATAACTGACATTGGTGAAAGCCTATAATTTTCAGACCCATCGCTTTATGGAAGAGGATGTTCTGAACCTCTCAGAATATTTTCTAGTATTGATTTTTTGAAAATGAAAAAAAATATTAAAGAAGAAAATCAAACACATTTCACCGAGTGGTGTCTCATATATTTTTCTTGTTTGAGACAATTTTGCAATTGATCTTTTTAGTGGGTTTTTTGGTTATAGTTCATTTAACTTAATTCTCTTTTGTTTCTTTTTGATGATGATGAATTCTGACATTTCAACAGTATAGCTGGTCTTTGTTGGATACATGCTATTTATCGACCTTGCTTAATGAGAACAGACTACCAAGACTACCATACCACCTTATGGTTAACTCTTAAGTTAGCTCTGTTCCAGCTGACATTGTTTTTGGGAAGGATATTTCTGAACAAAAGGTTATTTTCTAAAAGGTGTTTAATTGGTTTAAGAATCTGGCAGCAAAATGTACTTTTACCTCTTGGTGCCACTGTATTTAATTACCCTTTCCACCTTTATTTTCCATGTTTTTCCTACCATAGGCTGTTGATTACACACATACTCATGGTTTAATTGTAAGTTATTCATAAGCAGAAAGTTGACTATACCGCAGGGTGTTTTTATATTTCTTTTTTGCAAGGTTTGAAATAAAAATAGATTATGATTATTGCTTTGTTTTATCAGCTAGTCCTTTGATATTCGTCAGGACAGCACATGGAAATCTTTGTGAAAATTTATGTTTTAACCTATGATCATCGAACAGTCTAAAAATGCTCCCTCCTTAGCAAGTCATGCTCTGATTCTACGTTGTTGAAGACTATTTTAATGCTTGTCACCAAAGTATGATAAACTATATACAGTTGTCATTATATAAAGGCAGAGCCAGATATTTTTAAAGATTTGTTACCAAGCTATATTTTTGCATTGTCTATACTGAAATTTTTTTGCGTGTTTCAACAATTCTGTCTGTTGTTCTCTAGAAATTTTTAATGAATAATGATTGTTACTGACTATCAAGGGTATAAACATGTCATGTGATTTGCTGTTAAACACTGACGTAAAGTTAAAGCTGAAGAGTTTGGTGACATAAATTACCACATAACACCTGAATAGTTGGAAGTTATCATATTGTCTTATCTGTGGGTACTTTCTGAGAAACTAATGTACTAACATGATTTATGATATGTTTGGCAAAAGAGATGAGATAGCAAACTCTGTGTTTGATTATAAAATGCTAACGGTTGTTCATGACTATCCTTTTTTATTAGTCAATGCACAATTAAATTCACCATTAGATTTCTGAAAATATTTCAACTTTTCCTAACTACTGTTTATATTTATGTAAATGTTTCTATCTCATGCTCTCATTATTTTTCTTTATGTAATATTTCAACCTTAAATCTTTCCTTTTTTCCCTAAATTCTCTACTCTGTATGTCTGTTATTTCAATTTATGTGTATAGGTGTCTATAGGACCATTTAAGTGTTCAAGTTGTTCCTACTAGGAGAATGTATTTTGATCCTTCTTTCCATTAACTTTTCTGTTAATTTACTAATTAATCATTTTGTAGATTTAGTGAGGAATAATTTAGTATTGATGTCATTTGGTACTTAACTAATGGCAATTTAAAAATTATTTTCAAGATGTATACATGAAAGCCTTACAATTATCAAAGAAGAATAATTAATCACCTGATAGCACTAAATTAGCTTTAAAATCTTTATCAGATAGAATTTTCTCTTTCTGATTTCTTTTGTTAGACAAATGTGGTTATGATGGCAGGAATATCTAAATTGTAAACTCTTCTTCGAATGAATCCATCAGACAATGGCATTAAGAAAGTACTAATAAAGCAGTAAATCCAAGGACACTTTAGGGGAGGTGGAGTCAGTATTTACCATATGCAAATTCCCCAAGCAAACTACTGTGGAGAAACAAAGAATTATAAGGCAAGGTCCTCTTCTCAACTGTATAGCCAGATTGAAGAAATTAGATATACTTCACGGAAAGCAGCAGTCAATAACTGTATACAAGAAATGCTGACGGAGATAAAATAAGTGCTGGAAATTAGAGGAAGCAGACACTTTCTCTGGAGTGGTCAGGAATAAAGACTGAATCTTGTTGGTTCTGACTAGTCCAAGAAAAGAGAGAGCATTTCAGATGAATGCAATGATAGGAGCAAAAGGCTTCTCAAAATAATTTCATTGTATAGTTGATTTTGGGCCTTTTAAATTTCATTGTTGTTAATGGCATCTACTTTGTTTCTTGAAGCTGAAAACCTCAAGGTCATCAGAGTCCTCGTGTCTAATCAGTGACCAACCAGCTCTTGTCTGTGGACCCTGGGCTACTGCTCTCACAAACATTCTTTCACCTGATCTACAAGATTAGTTTTTAATATCCTCACTTAACAGATAGAAAAACTGAGGCTCAGACAGTTAAGTCACTTCCTCAATGTCCCTCAGCTACTGGTTAGTGAAGCAGGGATCTCAACACAGAGTTCTCTCAGAAGAACTCTAAATCTCAGGCTGAAATGGGGGGAAATTGAGGAGCACAGAGGAGAGAGACTAAGGAGGAAGGCAAAGAGACCATATACTATTGGGTCGTCGGGAAAGTCATGACATATTTTTCTATGTTTTTCAGTGCAAAAATGTGTCATGACTTTCCCGATGACCCAATATTTTACTACAGAAGCATCGTTGGCAAATGGAAGGAAATTATTGTGATGTACTCATTATCCATTCAAATGGATTATTGTGTAAAATCCACACTTAAGACCTGAGTGTATGCAGTAGTTATTTCAAAACTTAGGGGAGCATCTTTGAGCTAATAGTCACAAATATTAGAATCCCTAAGTAAGGGAGGCTTTTTTTAAAAAAAATGCAGTTTTTCTGTCTTCAGTGCATAGTGCAGAGAAATTTATATTTTTATACAAACACAATTACTCAAATTTCACATTCTATCATCGATTTAGTTTTCCCCAATACTACTGGCTTGGCCACTTTCACATCTCTCTAAAATGCTTTTTGCTAAGAAGAAAGTCTGCAGAAATTAAAGTGCAGATTTTCATTTAGAATTTGTGCTTCTGTCCTTCTGTATATATTTTTTCCTCTGAGTTTTTTCTTGAATTAAAACATATGTATGTATGTATGTACATACATACAGATGAAGAGGGAATAATAACTGCTTCACTTTGGAGCAAGTAAAAAGGCTTTGTATTAGTTAGACTTTGGGGCTTAAACAACAAACATTTATTTTCTCTGAGTTCTGCAATCTAGAAGTCCAAGGTCAAGGTGTGGGCAGGTCTCTCCTGAGGCCTCTGTCCTTGACTTGTAGATGGCGTCTTCTCACTGTGCCCTCACATAGCCTTTTATCTGTGTGAATGCTTTCCCGGTCTCTCTGTGTGTCCTATATCTACTAATCTCCTCTGCTTATAGGGAAATCAGTCAGATTAGATTAGGGTCCACCCTAGCTTAATTACCTGCTTTAAAGATCTGATCTCCAAATATATTCATATTCTAAAATACAGGGTTAGTGTTGCAACACTTGAATTTTGAAGGGACACATCTTGTCTTTAACAGGCTCAATGGGACATTCTACGGAAAGGTCATGGGGTCAGTCAGAAACCTGTGCTCAAGTTCTCACTCTGATCCTCTTTCCAGGGGCCCTTAGAAAATTACTTAACTCTTCTAATTCTCAGTGTTCTAATTTGTAACATGGGGATTATGAGAACCAAACTCACATGAGTACTCTGAACACTAAAAAGCTTTTGTTCACTATAAAAACTACACAGAAAGTGACCATGCATAAACTTTTTAACCCTAGGCCTCAGTTTCTCATCTCTAAAACAAAACCTATTTCTTTGAGTTTTTATGAAGATTAAAGAGCTGTTGCATGTAAAATGCTTAGCCTAATGTCTGCATATATATAGCACTTAATAAATATTACACGTTGCCATTATTTTTCATCCTTTCCTTTTCCTTCTACATTCCTTCTGCATGCTCTTCCTTTTCTGTCATTGCCCAAATCCCAATTAGGCAATAGTTTGCAAGAACCTGGCTAGGTTTGCAGAAAGGAGAAAAAGGATATCCAATGGATATAAAAGAGGATGTCTCTATGCTGTGATTTTTAACTATGGAGTTATTTTAGAATGATCCATAACTGTCTCTGTCAATTCTTAATCTAATAGCTTTCATAATTAAACGTTCTCGCTTTTCTACTGTTAATCATCTGTCCTTATTGAAAGGTCCTTAATGAATATTGACTCTTTACTCCAAGTAGGTAAGAGTTTTGTTACAAAGTGATATCTATTTGAAAATAATAGTGATGTCATATTCTATTGTTCAAGCGATTGTTCAAGTGGGTAGATTTAATTAGCAAACCTATGTTTCTTTAACAGTCTTAGAAACAGTACACCAAGTTTACAAAGATATTAGCGGTCTCGCCAAGAAGCATGTTTGCTCTTTGTATCATGCATTGCCATTTCTCCTGTCAATATTTTGAGTATATGAGTTGCCGTTTTCAAAATGAGAAAGGAAAATAAAAGGAAAGCACATATCCCTTTCCTTCTCACTTTTGTTGTTGAAGGAAAGAAGCTAAAAAATTGTGGCCTTATGAA